GAACGGAAGTATTTTACTCTTTATTTTGAGGTCGAACAAGATTTATGGTCTACAATGACAAATTTTCTCCCTCATTATTGCTCATTTATAACGAAAGCTTTCATTACTGTCTTGTTGCTCCGCCGCAATAAATCTGTAAGTTTTCTCCACCTTCTCGTTATTGTTCTTCTAACTCAGTTTTAACACGTCCAGTTGAACATTTTTCTCTACCATTGATTCAACAAAACATTGTTCTTTACCTCTACATCAATAAAACGTTGTCTTTCACTGTTATTCTCCCCTATGACAACTTTAGATGTGTTGGAGACATGTAGTGAAGACATTTATGGTATATGATAGAGAGGAACACTTTGAGAAAAATAAAGAAAGAGGTAAAAGAAGAAGAAAAGAGTTTAATCACAATTAACAAAAGAAGAGAAAATTTGGAACAGAGGAGGAGAAGAGAAAAAAAGGAGAGAAGAAGAAAAAAGAAGTGGAAACGCAAAGATGAAATGAACAAAATAGGCAAAGTTTAAAATTTTAACAAGACATACAACAACGGTTATGTAAATAATTGTCGTCGTATATGACATATGATGATTGTTCTTTTATAACCGTCATAATATGTGACATATATAAAAGAACTGTCGTTAAAAGATTAGACATATGATAACAACTGTTAGTGTTTTGCACATATAATGACAGTTTATTTAAAATCGTTATCGTATATCACATACAATAATGGTTCTATCTACAACTGTCATCGTAGGTTACATATTACAACGATTATAAATTAATCATGGTTAAAAATTAAAAATAATATTAAAAGTATCATCACGTTTCTTTTAACAATATATTTTCTCTTAGGTAACCTTACGAATTAAAGGATGCAAATTAAAATTTTCAATAAAACAAACTATCCTAAATAAGTAACTTGTTTAGTAAATATTTTGTATTTGACAATTCCCATGTTCTCCGAAGAATCATCCGCCATTTCTACACGAACAAAGACCGAATCATCTCACTTTTTGGTGTGGGATAGTGGTTTTACAATATGTGACAACTCTACAATTTTTTTAAATACAACTATATAGATAATATTATATTTAATTAAAATTCATATAATTATCAAATATTTTAATTTTCTAAAATATTTACGGAAATAACAAGCTAAGGAGATTTTTTTTTTTAATTTGGTTAATATATGTATGACTTTTTAAGTGAAGATTTTTTTATTTGATTGTATGTTTGTTTTTTAATATTTTAAAAGTTTTATTTTAATATTTATCAGCATGTTGGAGCTTTATAGTTCGTGTAAATATTAAGCAAGACAACACTGAAGAAAGAGACATGAAAGCATAAATATAAGTAGCGGTAGAAAATTCAACATTCTCATTTTAATTATAAATATTAAAATAAAAATTTTAAAAATCTTAAAATTTACAATCAAATAAAATGCCTTGAGATGTCCTATGTACTTTGACGGTTCACCACAGATCTTTAAAAAAAAAACTCATACTTTCGAGTTTAGAGTTGTGTATCCATGCACATCTTTGGTTATTAATATATATATATATATATATATATATATATATATATATATATATATATATATATATATATATATATATATATATATATATATATATATATATACTTAAAATACAGCTTCAATAAAAAAGAAAAAACACTGTATTTTTTTGAAAGTTATGTTAAAATACACTACTTTTAACTATAAAAAAATGGCATTTTAGAATAAGATTTTTTTCGTGATAAAACTATATTATAAAATATGATTTATTTATTTATTTATTTATTTTTAAAAATTATATATTCCAATAAAATATAAAAAAATTACAGGATAAGAAAAAATCTTTAAAATAATGGAAAAGTCACTCTCATGATTTATTAAAAATATTACAAAAAAAACTTAAAAAAATATTTTCGAAATTAAAATTGAGTTTGGGAATGGATTGCAAGTATAAGAAAGGAATTTCACCTTATAAAATTCAGCCTAAGATGGATTATTGTACAAAATTTAATATTTTATTTCTCTCTTAAATATAGAATGTCCTATCTAATTGTTTATCATTTAATATCTGAAAATAAAATGTTTATTTGATATAATAAAGTGTTGACTTGTTCTTCTACTGAGGAAAATTAAGGTTACATAATTTTTTTTTAAATTGTGTTTGTTGATATTTTGTAATTATTCTTCTAATATTAAGGCATTAAATTTCAATAATTATTATCTGGTTAACTTCAAAATATTAAATATTGAGAAGTTTAAGACTCCACGTAATAATACTAATTTTCAATATTATTAGATTGAATTGAAAATTTTAATTATCAAGTAAGTTTAAGATTTAATAAAATAATAAATAAATTTCAAAATTATTATATGATAAAATAAAAAATCAATTATCAAGTAAATCTAATATGTAACATGATATCTTATAAATTCCATATTTTTTTATAAAAAAATGAAATTCTTAATTATTAAGTAATCCGAGATTTAATGTAGTAATTAATAAATTTAAAAAAACTATATAATAAAAACTAAATAATAAAAAAAATCTATCAAAATAATCCAAAACGTTTACATAATATTAAATGAATTCCAAAACTATTAAATATGAAAAATTAAATTTTTTAACTATAAAAAAACGTGAGATTTAATATAATAAAGAACGAATTAAAAATTTATTAAATAAACTCAATATTATATATAAATTTAAAAATATTAATTATCAACTCCGACACATATAGTATTTCTAAAGTCAATAAAATATTATGGGTTAAGTATGTTTTTAGTATCTATACTTTCATGTGAAATTGGAAATAATGAAATTGGAAATAATCCATCTGTCAAATTTCACATAAAAATTATCCTTATACTTTTGAAATGATTGGAATAGGTTCCTATTTTAAACGACGTTAAATATATGGTGATCTTTCTAACAAAGATAGTAAGACTTATTCATTATTTGACACGTGTAATTATTAAAAAAAAAAAAACAAAGCTCTTCTTTGAAAAAATAGAAATTATTCAATAGAGATTTTTATTTAAAAAAAAAACAAAATTAAAAAGTAGAAGCTTTCTTTTTCTCCTCACGCACCAAAACTTTTCAGTTCTAGTCACAACCATTTTTCATTTTCTCTTCTTTTGTCGTCACGGTTACTTTTCGTTCTCTCTTCTTTTCTCGCAACACACCAAATGTCTTTTCTTTCTTCCCCTTTCTCCGTAAATGTTGTATGAAGTCAAAGTGACTTTGAAGTTCGAGGATTTCATCGGTTCGTTGTGGTTCGACTAGCAGTACGAAGGTGGTATACCATAGCTAAAGTTTTCTTTTTAAATGACTTTTAAATGTTATAAATGCGGATTTAAATGATTTTTAAAAGCTTGATACCTTTTAATTTTATTTTTTAAAATAATTATACGTGTCAAATTATGAATAAGTCGTATCATTTCTGTTAGACAGGTTAGCATATACTTAACACCGTTTAAAATAGGAATATATTTCAATCATTTTAAAAATATAGAGATCATTTTTATGTGAATTATGACAGAGTGACTATTTTCAATTTCACATTAAAAATATAGGGACTAAAAACATATTTAACCCAAATATTATCTAATATATTAACATACATATAAATCTAAATATAAATTTGTTATAATTATCTTTTTATCTACATTCTTTATTTCTTTTCTCTCTGTATATATAAATAGATGAAATGAAAAATTATACACGGATATACATATATTATGATTATATTTATTAAATTCCATAAATGTTATATTTAATAAAAAGAAATTATATAACATTATCAATATATTTATATAAATTCCATTAAAAAACAGTAAAAGAGTATAATAAAATAAAATAAAAATATACACGTAGTGCGAGTGTGAAATTTTCAATTTGGAGGAAAGATACACAATGTTATACATACAAAATAATGAAAAGGATTAATTCCTTGATTAATTCATATTAAACTATAATTAGTGTGTTCTTTATTTGATTAATTTATTCTCAGCTATTCGAATTCCACACATTTTGGTTGAACTTATCCCACTAATCATCACAATATTCAACAATTTACTCTCAAGCATGGTTTACATAACCCTAATATAAATATCAAACAATATCATATCATCTTAAAGATTCAAATAACTAATATTTAAACAATTTAAATCAAGTCTTGCCTTCTCCCTTCACTTGGCCAATTCAATACAATTAAAAGAAAAGCTTAACAAGGGTTAACAACAACAAATTATAAAGTATTCGTTAGAACATACCATTTTCAACTAATTTTCACCCTAACTAAAAAAACAGAAAATCAAACATTGAAAAATATTATTATATTTTAGGTAAATATTTGATCGAACCCCATAAACATTCGGAACTAACTAATAATTTGTTTCTAAATAACAACACATTCTTTAATATATGTTTTTCTGAACATATTCTTTATGTCTTATTGATTACAATTTATTGAAAATTATAAATTACGAGTAAGTGTTATGAAATTTTATAATTTTAATCTATAGTTAAAAAAAAATTAGGTTGAAAAGAGCATGACTGATGTGCTACTGTGGTTTCTCATTTGAGGTTTATCCTATTAAAATCACTGTGGATGGACACTTTACATTGAAAAAATTACAGTGAGTCTGGTGCCTATTTTTTCTGAACTGAGCATGTGGGCAATGATTTAAACTCAACTGAAGATTTGTAAGTTTTTGGTGTCATATTTCTTGCCTTTAAACTACACTCCTTTACAACCATTCCTTTCAAAGATACCCTCCTTTTTATCCTTTGCTGTAAATTTATATCAATGCAATCTTTTTCTCTTGTTTTGATCAGACATTTTTCAGGCATGTACTCTGTTCAAATATACATTAAATTCCAATTCAATTCCTGATATCACTCAAATAATCTCCAACCCCACCAACTCTTCACCAAAAACTCAACCACATTCTCCCAAAACTTCTCCTTCTCCCTACCTAATTACCAAGAATGAGAAGTATCATGATCCTAATAGTAATACCCTTTGTACTAGCTTCATTATTTCCATGTTTTCAAGCTCAGACTCTGTCATCACCCTTTTCCAACCGAGGGCAATGGCAACTCATGCAATCAAGCATTGGCATATCCCCAATGCACATGCAACTTCTGCACAACGACAAAGTCATCATGTTTGACAGAACCGATTTTGGCCACTCTTATCTTCCTCTTTCCAATGGTCGTTGTCGCATGGACCCCTTTGACATTGCCCTAAAACTCGATTGTTCTGCTCACTCCTTACTGTACGACGTTGCCACAAACACGATACGACCCTTAATGATACAAACTGACACATGGTGTTCCTCAGGCTCGGTTCTCCCCAACGGTACTTTGATCCAAACAGGTGGCTACAACGATGGTGAACGTAGCATTCGCATGTTCACCCCATGCTTCGACCAAACCTGCGATTGGGTCGAGTTCCCACGTTTGTTATCACAAAGAAGATGGTATGCAACAAACCAAATACTCCCAGATGCTCGTGTCATTGTTGTTGGAGGTAGAAGACAATTCAACTACGAATTCTTACCTAAAACCACTAACCCTAACGATTCTCTTTCTTCTATTCCTCTTAACTTTCTCCAACGAACCACTGATACAAGTGAAAATAATTTATACCCTTTCGTGCATCTTTTACCCGATGGAAACCTATTCATCTTCGCCAACACAAAATCCGTGTTATTTGACTACAAACAAAACACTGTAATCAAAGAGTTCCCTCCAATTCCAGGAGAAGATCCTCGAAACTACCCTAGCTCGGGTTCTTCCGTTCTTCTCCCACTAGACGAAAACCAAGGTCCCCTCCAAGCTGAAGTGGTAGTCTGCGGCGGAGCGCCACGTGGCTCGTTCGAAAGCGCCGTACGTGGGAGCTTCATGCAAGCCCTTGGCACGTGCGGGAGGCTGAGACTCACTGACCCTAACCCTAATTGGGTGATGGAGAACATGCCGATGCCAAGAGCAATGGGTGACATGCTTCTCCTCCCTAACGGCAACGTTGTTATAATTAATGGAGTAGGAACCGGGACCGCCGGGTGGGAACACGGCCGTGAACCGGTCTTGACGCCGGTGATATTCCAGCCATCGGAGACTGTAAATCCGTTTACTATTATGGCACCGGCGTCAAGGCCTAGGTTATATCACTCTTCAGCTGTGTTGTTGAAAGATGGAAGGGTTTTAGTTGGTGGCAGCAACCCTCACGTTTTTTACAACTTCACTGGGGTTGAGCACCCCACTGATCTTAGCTTGGAAGCGTTTTCTCCACCGTATTTAGCGCCGGAGTTTAACCCGGTGCGGCCAACAATTAGGTACGTTACGAATAATAACGTTTTAGGGTTTAGGGTTTTTTGTTATGTGACGTTCACGGTGGCTGATTATGGTTCGGCGAGTGACGTGTCGGTTAGGATCGTGGCACCTTCGTTTACTACGCACTCTTTTGGACAGAATCAGAGGATGGTGGTGTTGAAGCTGCGTGGGGTTACGTACCTAGGCGGAGAGGCTTATTATGCCACGGTGGTTGGGCCGTCGACGCCGGAGATTGCGCCGCCGGGGTACTACATGATGTTTGTGGTGCACAAGGGTGTTCCAAGTTCAGGTTGGTGGGTGCAAGTCATGTAATAATGTAGTGGATAATGAGTTGAGTTTGTTAGTGCAGTGCAGATAAATCACAACGAATTAATGTTAACCAAAAAAATAAACCATGATTTGTGTGTATGTATTAAAACAAATTAGGGTAGTGGTGTGTGAAAATATGACATTTTTTTTATTTGAATGTTGATAATAGAAAGATGGATAAATGATAGTAGACAATTCAATATTTCTAAACATCCATCTTATAAACCCTGTTTAATAATATAATAATAAAAAACATAAAAAATTTAAATTTTATTAATATTATATTAATAAATAGAGTTGTTAATCTATTAGACTTTAGAGCAGTTGTTATATATTCACAACCGGCTTCCAGAAAACATACAAAAGACAACTTTTTTTTTTATTAATATAATAATAATTGAAAGATTTATGCAAAATAAAAAAAATTAAAATTATTATTATTATAATATAAAAATGAAATGTAAATAGGATGTTTAATAATACTTTATTACTTTTTAGGAATAATTGTAACACATCATTTCCATGGAAAGATTGCACCGAGACACTAAACTTATCTCTTAATATGAGTGTATGACATTTAGGCATTAGAGATTATAATTTTTATAGCATTTCTTTATTTATTAATAATACTTTTCAAATTATATAAATATAAACAATATCTTACTTTTTTATCAATATTAAAAATTTTATAAAAAACATATTATGGAATTCAATTAAAATTTTCAAATTATATACATAAATTTTTAATTATTTAACTATAATTGTTACGATTTTTTTTAAAGATAACAAAATCTAATATTCAACTGAGACTTTTTTTATAACATAGAAAATATTTTGTTTATTATTAAAAATATATAATCAATCTTTTATGTATTATATTTTAAGATAAATATAGATGAATTTGATATTACCTTTTAGTAGATCTATAAATGATGACTTTAGAAAAAAATGTATATGTTTATCAAACCTGAAAGAAGATTTTATGGGGCTCATATAGGAAAAAACGAAGATACATTCAATCAGCTATTTAAAATTAAAAACTAAATAAACAAAATTAATGTCATACAATTTTGTATATTTAATTAGAAATAATCATCTTGAAAAAAAAATCATAAATACTAATACTTCGTGTAATAAATTTCTAAGGATAATAAACTTTTGAACCTTATTTCTAATTTAATCATTATTTTATGATTGTTTTTATAACTATTCTATTAGTATCGTACCTCATACTTAATTAAAAGTAATATTACTAAATTTTAAACCTTCAACTGTGTCAACTAATGTTAGTTATAAAGAAAATTTTTTCATTGTTTTTAACTGTATCAACATAAAATTTAATAATTATTTTAGTACCAAATGATTATCTCTATTAATAGAAAATGTGTTTAATAGGTATTAAAAAAAGACTACTATATTTTTATAATTTAGTATAAAAAAATCATAACTTATTGATTATTACAAACGAAACATTAAAATCAATTAACATTATGAATAAAGTTGAATGTGCAATTTTTTAATTGATAAAAAAATTATCAATTTTTCTTGTCTGGGAAAATTGATTTATTAATAGAGAAGAATTTTAATTAACTCTCAAAGAATTATTTTCCATCCCATCTGTATCTCTTTCTTCAAAACTTAATTATTAAGATTATAATATAATCATTAGAAACACATCATAAATTTTCAAGTTATTTTATCTATTTAATGCACTTAAGTGATTTATTAATCAATCCAGTATGTAATAAGTAATTATAATAGTAGTAATTGTATTTTTAATAATTTTAGTGATAAAAATAAATATGATTATATAAAAATAATAAAAAATTGTTTTAAAATAAAAAATCTTTTAAATTTTATTTGTAATGGAACACATTTACAGTAGTATGAAAGAAGGTTAAAATTCAAAAGATTTAAAGTCCCATCTTGTATAAAAAAAAAATAGTAAAATAGAGCTGAGTCACAAACCTACATAACGTTAAAATTTTGATTAAAAATAATATAATGATGTCACTCCCAATCCTTTAGTCAATTTGTATTTAAGATAAAACTAAAAAAAAAAATTATTGTCTGCTGCCATCATAGTATTAATTTAATTAATTCGTTGGCAGTGATTCTTGTCATGATACTCTTTTTATAACAAATTCATATGCACTTGATTTATGTGTTTTATATTGAGACCATTGCACTTTGACTATTAGCAAGTTGGGAAGTGATTCCTTGCATTGAATTTAACCTCGAAGAATTGTAGGTAAAAGTTTATAACATTTTAGAAAATCAATTAAATAATTTTAATGGCTTAGATCTCAATGAAAATTTCAGAGGATTAGAACTGCATTCAATTATTTCTCTGATCTTTGGGATACAAGTCTTTTAAGGGAGGTTTTCATGGCCGAAAAATCAAACCCAACTCTTTTTTCTTTATTCTAGCCCGATCATGTAGGCTTTCAGTATTGAACTAGATTTCAGCCTATTTGGGCAATGTGGGACATCATCTTATGTAAGTTTTCTTTGTTAATGTGGATTAACAAATCTGTATCTATATCATTAGTTAGTGAAGCAAAGACTATTCATGACTGATGAAACATCAATACTCCAATCAGTATGGGAAAAATTCAATGATTAAACAATAATCGGGGAAGTACATACCAACACCGTATTAATGATTCCAACTGCTTCCATGCCCACAACAGTAAACCAAATGGTTAAGGCAAAACAATTTTGCAGAAAATTGTGTTTATATTGGACAGCTGGATTCAAATTAAGCTTCACAATCCCAACAATTGGAGGAATCAGTCTCATATAAGTGTATTGGTAGGAAGTTATGGGAAATAATAGAGTAACGTGCAGTAATATTCTATTAATGCACTATTCATGGAATGGAACTGACAACACAAACAAGCTTTCCTTTTTACAGTGAATCGTACATAATTTGAACCAAAACGGGAGCAAATATGACCACAAGTAAACTAGTCATCAGGAGAAATTTCATCTGTTGACAAGAAACTATAAAGAACAAAATCCATAACAACCCCTTTGAAATAAGTGTACTTTCTGAGAACACCCTCTCGCATAAATCCAACCTTGTCCAACACCCTCTGAGAAGCTTTGTTGTCAACATCAACAAAAGCCTGCAACCTTAGCAAATCGGGAAAGTCCTTGAAGACTTCGGGCACTGCAATCTTGAGCACTTTGGTGGCTATCCCTCTGCCCCAGTAGCTCCTGCCAATAGCATAGCCTATATCAGCCTTGCACCTTTCATCACCTGACCAACGATAAACTGAAACAAAGCCAATGGAACAGTTGTCAAGACAGATTGAGCGACGCCATGGATGAGGTATGCAAACATCCCTTATGAAGGCCAAAGCCTCTTCCCTGGAGCCACAAGTCTTCCACCGGAGGTTTCGAGTCACTTGATCATCCCCTGCCCATAACAAGAAATCGTCAGCATCACTAGTCTTGAATGGCCGGAGACTAATTGCAGAGAGATCCACATATGTCATTTTGGTCAAACGTTGCATTATTTTGGTTCCTAAACCACTAACTTATATAAATTGATTGTGGGCACCACTACAAGTAAGATGACCTGTAAGCCACTAACTTTGGGCTTCAATTACTAGCAAATGTACAATTTTCAATTATCCCTTTCACTCTAATTGTGTAAAAGACCCCCTCTTTTCATTCACTAATGTACAAAAGCACCTTTATTCATAGAAATTGGTCTAGTCTACCCATTATATGGAGCTTATGAGATATAATATTTAAGATGACTAAATATAATTCAACAAAAAGCTTTAAGTTCAACTACAAAAGATCAATAAAAAAAATTTAAAAAATGCCACAAGTAAATATAATCGAGGCTGTAAATTCAATCAGATTAATTCATTTTTATAACTGTATTAGAAAGGGCCGCGCGAACGCTGGCCCCTACTGCCACAAATATTGACGTAGGCTCTCCTGCTTGAGGAGACCTTAGTCAGGCACCCTTCCTAGGTGCAATGGAAGTCACCAGACTAGACCATTGGCCTTGCTGATCACCAATTGACCCCGTCCAGGTAAGTATGTTGACTAAGGGGTACTGACTCTGTATTTAAAGTTTCTATGACTAAAGGCATGTACCTTTTGTACTGATGTGGGACTAATAAAAAACCAGTTTGACCTTCTCTGCTGATGCAAACTCGTGCATTCCACAGTCTCGGGCGTAGAACAGTTTGACCTGCACTGAATGAAAAAGAATACGTCTGCAGATGTATAGAGCCATAAGGGGTAACAGATCAGGCTTACTTGCAGTTTAAAATTTAACTCTGAATGCCCTTAACTCTTTCATAAATGGCACCTTCTTAAATTAATATCAAGGAACATAATCTATTTTGAAAAACCTTTCATAAGGTTATGACTTTTTATGTTAAATATTAAATTGATAACATTTGTGGTTATAAAAAAAAGTCAGTTACTATTTTGATTAAAAAGTTGAAAAAGAAACGGAATAGTTTTCAAACTATGATGCATAATAAAACACGAAATCCAATTCAAATATTAAACAAATTACGATATTTTTTTTTTGGTGAATACAAAATGTTGTTCGGACGTCTAGGCAGCAAACTACTATAATATCTAACTAAATGAGAAAAAAAGTAAGCATAATATAAGTGTGTAGAGACTAGGGAGATTTGGAAACTATTCATTTAACCACACATGAGGATATATCAGTTCAACACATCAGCTATTGTGTAAAATTATGAACAGAAAACCCAAGAACTACATCAAGCATGGACAGACAGTAATATTTCACTAGTTTTATTGAAGAACAAACAGCAACTACCACAACAGAAAAATAACATTTTGGTCTCCAAGATTTTTTTCGAAAATGATATTGAACCAACCAGCTTTTGAACCTACAAAAATATTTAATGTAATATGGCTTATTAAACTAAAATTCAAGGCACCCTTCCGACAGTGCAGGAAAAGATCACTTACATTTTACAAATATAAAGTTCTCATCTTCCTGGCTTGATGCATTTGCTCACATATCACAGTCATGAAATATCAAAACCGACAATAAAAGTAAAAATACACAAAAACAGCAAAAAAAAAATCCTAAAATAAAACATGTCTCAGCATGATTCTTAATTCTTGAGTTCTGAAGGGTAATGAACGCTTTAATCAAACATAGGTATATAAGGCTCACTATAATTTTCAAGAGACAATAATAGGTAGACAAAAATAGATACCATGCTATCAGCAATACACTCTAATGTCATAGACAAAAGTGGAAAAGAGGTTCAACATAAGCTGAGAATGATGCACCACAGAAACTAATAAGCAAACAAAACAATATAAAACTAAAAGTGGTAAGGGAATCAAACAAAAGTAAAGTATGATTCAAAATTTCAAGTCACTCATTCTGAAGACGACATTTATAGTTCTGGCAGATGTGGGGAAACCAGACAAGCTTGTTCAGTATTCTTATATATTTTGTGTGGATTGCTAAAACCTTTGTACAAATATAATCAAAGGACCCATTATATTCTTATCTCTCGAAATATCTTCATAACAGTTAGCAGTATTTTTTCCTCTTAATATGTTCTATCCAAACAAACTAACCCCTCCTGTTCTAGAACTATTATCACATGGTAAAATCAATAGTCATTGCTAATCAATAATAATGACTCCATGGTTCATAGAAGGTTCACCATAAACAGAGGATGATGTGCAGGAGAAAAGATTGATTAATGTCATGTTCTTTCCGTAACAACAGTTTTCCTAGTCTCCGCACCTATTTACCTCTTTGGAGTGAGATAAGATGATAGTCCAACTTTCCTTCTACAATGAACACATCATGCAAAATGAACCTCCCTTCTATAAAAGCAATTGTCTAATGTCAATACTTTTGTCCATCACCCACTTCATACACCTAGCTACTGTTTTAGAAATGATCTTATACATGAAAAAAAATACAAATGAAATAGGCCTAAAATCTTTGAGGGATTGTGGATCTGTGATCTTAATAATAAGCACCAAGGGGAGGGTTGCAACGTCTTTCCCTATGGGATGAAATTTTTCGTAGATATTTTTTATATCCTCTTTAAGGACATGCCAAAAAACCTTGATAAAGTTGAAGTTGAACCTGTGGGGATCCACCACAGTCCTGCACTGCCTCTCCAATCTCCACCGTATGGTATGCCTCACTAATCTCCACAATATCATGATAAGTGGAAATTAGAGAGGCAGACAAGCCTCAAGCTTTCTTCTTGTGAGATTTGAGAAGTAAAACTCATTAGACAGCAACTCTATAATATCCAAGGAAATGATAGCGAAGAAGCGAACCATTTATATATAGGGACTGAGCGACATTTATGGAAATTTCATGAATTTCAAATCATGAGCTATTGTGTAAAATTATGCTACGAAATCTCAAGAACTACAAGCATGGACAGACAGTAATATTTCATTTGTTTAATTGAAGTCAGCTACATCCCATACCTCTTCTTGAACCAATGGTGTTGAATCAACCAGCTGTTAAACCTGCACATATTAAAAGCAATTTGGCTTAATAAACTCAAATTCAAGGCCTCCACGAAGGACAGGAACATTTAAATTTGACTGGACCTGAAGCTCTCAACTTTAACGCTTGTCACCGAACTACGTAAACTACAGATTCTTAGTGAAGAAAACATGACATTAGTCACATTATGCGAAAAAAACACTTACAGATAAAAACTCTTGCGAGAGAATATACAAGCTAATAATATGGTACGAAATCTCAAGAATACAAGCATGCACAGAGTGATATTTCACTTGCCGAAGTCGCCTACTTTCACATAACTCTTCTTCAACAACTGTTACGTAATTTGGCTTAATAAAGTCAAATTCAAGGCATCCGCGAAACACATGAGCTTTCAAACTACAGATTATTAGTGAAGAAAACATGAGAATAGTCACATCAAACAGAAAGAAACCTTGGGCAAGGTTACCTAGTTAAAACGAATAAACAAGATTTTAAACCACCATATCATAGATTATTCGAATTACCTACAAACATTATCAGTAAGCTACAATAGGTTATTTTTGGTTCAATTAATGACTTCTCTTATACCAACAAGACATCCAAGGTATATGTAAATACCAGACATCCAAAGTTCATCTTAAGTCCAAATATTTAACAGACATTCAAAGTTTATCTTCAGCTTAAATATCCAAAGTTCTTCTTAAGTCTTAATATCTAACAGACATTTAAGATATCTTAAGCTTAAATATTTAAAGTTCATCTAAAGTCTAAATATCTAATAGACATTCATAGTTTATCTTAAGCTTAAATATTTAACTCTAAAGCACGGGCCTTCGTTAAACAGACATTCAAAGTTTATCTTAAGCTTACATATTTACCTCAAGGGCCTCCATTTAATAGCGGCTCAAAGATTATCTCCAGAATTTTAAAGTTGACTCATACGTTGTGGCCTGCATATTACAGAAATTCAAAGTATCAGCTAAAATATTTAAGTCATAGGTAGGGGCAATGACACAAGTAGGCAATGACCCATACGTAGTGACCTGCATTTTACAGAAATTCAATGTTGTTCCTTAGCTTAAATATCCAAAGTTCTTCTTAAGTCTTAATATCTAACAGACATTTAAGATATCTTAAGCTTAAATATTTAAAGTTCATCTAAAGTCTAAATATCTAATAGACATTCATAGTTTATCTTAAGCTTAAATATTTAACTCTAAAGCACGGGCCTTCGTTAAACAGACATTCAAAGTTTATCTTAAGCTTACATATTTACCTCAAGGGCCTCCATTTAATAGCGGCTCAAAGATTATCTCCAGAATTTTAAAGTTGACTCATACGTTGTGGCCTGCATATTACAGAAATTCAAAGTATCAGCTAAAATATTTAAGTCATAGGTAGGGGCAATGACACAAGTAGGCAATGACCCATACGTAGTGACCTGCATTTTACAGAAATTCAATGTTGTTCCTTAGCTTAAATATCCAAAGTTCTTCTTAAGTCTTAATATCTAACAGACATTTAAGATATCTTAAGCTTAAATATTTAAAGTTCATCTAAAGTCTAAATATCTAATAGACATTCATAGTTTATCTTAAGCTTAAATATTTAACTCTAAAGCACGGGCCTTCGTTAAACAGACATTCAAAGTTTATCTTAAGCTTACATATTTACCTCAAGGGCCTCCATTTAATAGCGGCTCAAAGATTATCTCCAGAATTTTAAAGTTGGCTCATACGTTGTGGCCTGCATATTATAGAAATTCAAAGTATCAGCTAAAATATTTAAGTCATAGGTAGGGGCAATGACACACAAGTAGGAAATGACCCATACGTAGTGATCTGCATTTTATAGAAATTCAATGTCGTTCCTTAGATTTAAAATTTAACTCATTGGTAGGGGCCGCGCGAACGCAGGCCCCCTCTGCCACAAATTATGATGTAGGCTCTCCCACATGGGAAGACCTTAGGTGGACACCCCTCCAACGTGCAATGGAGGTCATCAACCTAGGCCATAGGCCTTTATGATCACCTATTGACCCCATCCAGGTAAGTATGTTTCTACGTTGCAAGTCACTCTCTATTTAACTATTCTGAAGACTTCTACATTTTTGGTACTAGATGATGTGGGACTAACCAGACACGCTAAAGTCTAAATGCGTATCCAAAGTAACTCCTACTTGTCCTATAATTCTTACGGGATGATGAAACGAATACCCAACACTAATAATGAAAACGATGTACCTGTTCTAATAATGACTACATCTGGAGTTTTTCATCTAGTTCTCCCACCTATTTACCAATTTGAAGTGTGATATAAGACAATAGTCCAACTTTTCTTTTGTAAACGTTTATTTGTTTAACAATAATCTCTTGCTTGAACTAATTACCGAATAACGGAAATAGGTTTTCTCATGTGGAATGGATGAAATTTTATAAAAGTAAAATATTACGAGTGAGTGAAATACATAAAATATTCACATTAGCTTATCATGCCAACATCTAACTTGAGAAGATCCATTTCCTTCAATAACCTATGCGTCTTATATAAAATATTAAACCTTTGGTCCTTCCTATTCATTGTTGTACACTAGGAATTTGCTGTTTCATGTGTACCAATTACTATATATTTTATTAACCTGTGTGTTTTGTTCCAGAAATATGCTTGAAAAAGCAATCCCTGCATTGCCACAGTACTGTGTTTTATGACTTCATAATACCAAAAACGAATCATGGTTACCCGACTCGCCCACTATGCACTAACGGGATAACACTCGTGCAAAAATTTGCTTGTGATATTTTATTAGTTATATATATATATATATATATATATATATATATATATATATATATATATGTGTGTGTGTGTGTGTGTGTAATAACACTTAACGAATGAGTAATGAGTCCAAATCTAAATATTTTGAGCCAGAGTCGTCACTCATTCTTTCCAAAGAAAAAGTGTTATTCCTTATTTTAATTGTAAAACAATATTATCTCAATATCATGTCAGATAATATACAGGTCAACTTCGCACCACAAGCGTCAGCATTTATTCCAAAAAACAAATAAATGACTCGTGTGTTTGACACGTACCAACTTTTAATCAATAAACTAAGTTCAGATTCTCTCGAGAAGGAGAATGTTAACACAGTAGATTGCTTAGGTATGCTAGAACTAGAAGACGGGCAGAGAATAGAAAGGCAACTTATAGGAGTCCAACCATGCAACTTTGATCATTTTTAGCAAATACTTCCAGCAGCCATACGTTACTTTTTCATCCACAGTTTCATTACTAAGTTAAGCACTTCAAACGAGTGATTGTGAACATGATTATCAAGCTCTAGTATCAAACTCGCAAACTGAAATGAGTTTACGAGTTGGCAAGAATCAACTCACTCAAGCATATTCGGGTTACTCGGGATAGACTCAATAAGATTTGGTAAACTTATAAAATCAAAATATGCTCTTAAAAAAAATCGAACAGACCCTATTAACTTGGAGATATGTCACATGGGGATTATAGATGTAGAAACTTGAATAGATTAGTTCTTTTTTATTTATTTATTTCAATGTGATTACTTCAATAACTTATGCTTTGTTGGCAAATTACCTTATTTATTTGGTGTAGTTTGAACTTATATAACTGTTATGTACTACTATACTTAGTTATTTTAATATTGCAAAATTATTATTTACTATTTCGCTTAATTTGTTAAAATGTTTAATTAGTATATTATTTACAGATATTGTATTTATTCTCATATGAAGTATGCTCTTTGGAGTATATGGAACTTTAGTAAGTTTACATAGACTCTCAAGTCTTCCTGCAAACCCTATACCATGAGTGTGAGGTCAACTTCTTACTACTTCACTTGACTGCCATCTCTTAACGTTATATCTTCATCCAATCTCCCATTTACCTTGACCAAATATACGTAAACCAAAATCTGTTAACACAACGGTGAGTACCAAATCCTGAATCCGACAGATTTATTAAAATGATGTTATATATCAGTAAACAAATGAGTTGAAGCATTTTTAATTCCAACATCAATACAGTTATTTTCTCATTCCCTTGCCTATTTAGGTAGGTTTGAGAGAAAAATAGAACAAACTAACTACTCTTCAGTTTAACAAAATATTTTGTTTGGCTCTGCCTGTGACCACCTCAAAAATTGGAAGCTAAACAAAATCCCACAACTGTTCAGCAAAAGATATCATCCTAAATCAGCTTATCGTGGGCATTCTTGCAGTCTAGTGAATTGGGCAGCAAGATCGGAACTGAACAAAACAGGGTATATAATTTTAGATCAATTCCGCAATGTGTGGGGATACCTCCTTAACCGATCAGGCTTACTTGCAATTTAACAATTAATCTCTGAATTCCTTCAATCCTTTCCGCAGCACCTTCATAAATCAATATTCAGGAAGATAAGGGTTATGGACTTCTTATATTAAATATTAAGTTCATAAGATTTTGGGGATAAATAAGCCATTTACTATTTCAATAGAACAGAAAGAAATGTCATACGATTTACTGTTTACAAAAGACAAGCAAAACCGCACTAATTTTAACAGTATGATACATATTAATACACCAAATCCAGCTTTTGAGAATGATAAAACAAATTAAGAAATAAAAGACATTAGGCAGGAAAATTACTCTGATATCTAACAAGATAATACAAAAGTAGCAAATTATGGACAGGGGAGGATACGGACTAAGGAGTTTTGAAAACAATTCTTTTCCCCTTATATACATATGCAGTTAAGTTTAATACCTCGGTTGCCATGTAAAAGTATGTAAAGAAAACCCAGGAATTACAACAAGAATGGACACAGTAATATTTTACTCGCTTAAATAAAACAAAAAAATAATCAAAAAACAGTTTGGTGTCTAAGAAGTTTTATATTTCAAAGAATAGGGAAAAAAAAAACCTTTTATATCTCTTCTTTGAACCACATGGACAGAGCGCATTCCTGCTAATTTGTCCAGCTTGGGCCAAATTAGACCTTGCAAGGTCCAATGGAGTAGAACCAACAAGCTTTTGGACCTATAGAAAACGAAATATAAACGTGCTGGTTATCAAAATATGGCTACAAGCACCCAGAAGCATTTACACTAATTATTTGCCATTGCAAAGTTCAGTTGTTATCTTGTTGCACATAGACAGACACTCACAAACATCATGGTAATAGAAAAGGTAATGACTTTAGTTGCATTAGATATACATACATCCAAACAAGTTTTGAAAGAAATTCTGATTGAATATCAATACCAACAATAAAAGATAAGAAAAAAATATAACACATTTAGACAACTTTTGTTTATATTGGGAGAATGATGCTATCCAACATTGCCAGTAACATAAGCCAAATCAAGAAAGCAGTCCTAATGCAGCATAATTCGGAAGAAGCAAGGTATTAGTTTATAAATTATCACTAGAAATAAACTATGAACCTCACCCAAGAGCCAAGACTTAGCACCGGTCTAAGCGAAGAATGGACCCAAATTGTGCTACTTATACCAAACCCCAAATGTCAAGATAAAATTGCCCAATCAAGACCTATTGTGAAGTAGAAGTACTAAAAAAGCAGAGTAAAAAAAATGGTAAGCTTTTAATGAACCAATCACCGAACTAGAATTTCTTCATAAGATGATATATTGAACCCAACTAGGTTGAAAGGAATTAAAGTAATAATTAGAAACATTACTTACTTCAGCAAAGCTTTTTGGCATTGGTTTTCCTTCTTCTTTTAACTTCTCTATCTTCTTCTGTGCTTCTTTGGCCCAAGAAAACTTAGAAAGTGCATTCTCTACATCAGCAATCGTGCAGTCACAATGTTTTGCAGCTTCTTGCTTTTGAGCAGTCCGAAGATTCTGAAGATAACAAAACAAAAGGATAAGAGTCAGAAGAATAAATCACAATCAATTAATGAATGCATAAATCAACATTGTGAAGCAAGAATTATTTAGAAACCTCTCCAGTGGGGTCCAAACCCCCAAGATATCGAATTATGGCTTCGTATTTCTCGAAGGTAGTAGAAAAAGTGACCTCGCTGCTTCGTCCGACCATGAACTCCTTAAACGCACCAATCCTTCTTGCATTCTTCATTTCATCCGCAAAACCTGGGAGCAATTATATCATTATTGTTAACAGGTTAAGTAAATGTACGAAAACAGTGTCTGAGCGATGTGAGAAAGGAGAAGCAAGGACGAAATCGGAATTAAAAGGAACTGACGAAGAAGAGTGAATGAATCGGAATCAGCCTGTGACGAGTCTCCCTGGGATGGCGTGGTCTTTTGGCCTGTGATGACGTTTTTTACCTTCTCCATCCATGAACCCTGCAACTGTGGAGTTGAGAAGATTGTTCGGTTCTGGCACTTGAAACTTTGATTTGCTGCTGAATGTAAAATCTTGCTTGCGATGCGAAATGAAGGCATCGAAAACCTTTGAGTTTATCACTCTTTCTTTCTCTTCAACTACTACACCCTTCAATGACTGCAACTCGACGCGAGGTTAGGGAATTGCCCTCGAAATTGAGATTTTGACGTCAGGCTAAAACGACGTCGTTGGGTTTTCACTGCGGCTAGGCGAAACGTTTAGGGTTTTTTTTTTTGAAAAAAAAAAAACGCTCATGCAATGTTTAAGTTAAACACTCTAATCTAACTCGTAACGTCATGTTAGATTTTTTTATAAAATAAAATATTAGATTTTGAATTATTATATTAAAAATCAAATTCATTTATAATTATTCATGGAAAAGTTATTGTTAAAATTTTAATGACTTCAAATTTATCAATTACCTTAAAATAAGTTTAACTTGATAAATAAAAAAATTCAAAAAATATATTAGATTAGACTTAAAAATTTATAAACTTAGTTAATACGTTTATAAAATATTAATTATTTTTATAATAATATATAAATAATATTATTTTTATTATTAAAATATATATATATAATAAATTAATTTGATAATATATTTTATTATATATATAATTTAGAAAGAATAATAAATTTTAAACATAAATTTTATTTAAATATTACGTGAGAGTTATATTAAATAATAAGAGTAATTATATTAAATAATAAGATTAATGAGTTGAAGTAATAAAAATTTGATTCTAAAATTTTTCTTATAAATTTTATGTTGAAATAAAATTTTAAATCAATAAAAATAATTTTTTAATATATAGATAATTATAATTTTTCACGACAATATAACTATAATTTCATGACAATATAATTATAATCCTTCATTTTCATGATTTTATTTTTTTCTGAAAACATTATAAGTTAATTTTAAGATTATATAATTGACTAATTTTTTGACTGTCCTACTTACAAGTATATTTTCTCTCATCAATTAAAATATAATTAAAATAAATTTATTTAAAAAGAAATATATGATTGTTTCTGGTGGAATTTCGATCGATTTCGATTCCTAAGATATTTTGATCCTAACCAAAATTCTACCACGTAGGTTCTTTTGCTTAGGCTAGCAAATCGATTTTCAATCGAAATATGTATGAGGATCGTATTTTACCCGATTTCAAAGATACTATTTTTGAGATTTTGTATTTAAGAATGCTCGAAGTAAAGAAAACAGAAGATATATGTAATCGAAGAACAGTACTGAAACTTAGATTGCAAAGAGACGTGAACTACGAAATCTTAAATTTGCTTAAGTGTAAAAGACAAGGAATCGAAACAACAACGATGTAAATATCGAGAAATCGAATTTGCAGGAAATGTAAAGGACAGTAAATCAAAGGTGCAATAAATGACTGGAAATTGAATTTGCATTAATGTAAAATGACCAGAGAATTTAAATACAGAAACTTAATTTGTACTGAATCGAAATGACTAAGAGTCGAAAATACAGAAACATAAAATTGCTGAACATAAATTGCATCAAAGTAACTTACCAAGGAAAATACAGAAAGCGATAAAGGTACTCCGTGAGCATAGAAACCCAGATTGTCAGAAGCTTCATGGTGTTCGTCGTTTCTCCGGTAGACTTTTTCACTACTAATTCTGTTCTCTGCCAATTTCTGCTCCCCTGTTCCGTCCTTCTTTGCTCTATTTATAGGGCATCGTTCAAGCTTTCCAGGAGCAGTTAACAAGACTGCTACCACGTTCTACGTGCATATGGCAGTTTATCTTCTACGGTTTTCCACGTTCTCACGATCTTCGACTTCCTCCAAGGTTTCGAAACTGCTCTTTATACGTGCGTTTGACTTATTCTTCTCTTCACGGTTTGGCCAGGGTTTCAATATCCACGTATATTAGTCTTCCCCTCGATTTCGATTTTATCGAGAACTTTACATTACTTTTGGTTCATTTTAACTTTGGCATTATATGCTTCTAATTTCTTGGTTTGTTCCACAATAACCTTTTAACTATTATTCCTTCTATTCCGACACTACCTTTCGATTTTGTGTGTCACGTCCTTTCTAATTGGACATTGTTTCTTGATTTTTCTTTCATTCGTTTTTCGATCATTTTTCTCGATTTCCCACTAACAATGATACATTTAATTTGAGAAAATAAATTAATTTTCCTTAAAATATTTTTTTTTAATCTATGAAGCCATTTTTTACAAACATTTTATAAAAGAAACCGTCTTTTTATAATGCATCATGTATTTGTCTTAACTTTTTAGAATAATTAGAAGCGAACAAAATATAATGTTTAATTATCGTCAAAACAACTGCTTCTTTGAAGAATTGGTTTTTATAAAAGTAAACAAACATTAAAAAAAAACTTTTTTATAGTATTAAACAAAAATATATAGTTTTTCTATTTTAAAATCTCTAGAAAAATAATCTTACTTAATACCATAATCACTATTTTACTTACATACTGAAAACAAATTCTAGAATAATAAATTTTATTATTATTATTTTACGTCAATATTAATGAAACATTTTCCTCGTAATACAAATCGCCCACATTTCTTACTTTTCTTTTTCGAATCCCTCGTATTATCTGTGTTTTTCTCTTTTACAATTTGTATATATAAAATAAAAATATAAAAGTGATATCCACTCTCTATGTTTATCCTTCTCTAGTATAAGAATATATTTCAAAAAGTAATTGCAAGAATACTATACTTATTCTCCATCTACTTCTCATCTACGTGGATCATTCTTTTATGAGATGTTCACTCTCTTTCATTTTCTCCATTTTCAGTGTATGTCTTTTTTCCAAAAGCATTTAACCCGCTAAAAAAAATTATAGAAAGAATTAGGTAACTCAATCATCCTAACTCTTTTATGTATAGTAATTATTTACTGAAAAGTTTTTTATTTAGTTAACACAACAAGCTTGGGGATATGTCTGCTTTGTCGTTTTAAAGCACATTAAATCTGCATACCCTTTCACTTTTTTGGTTATATAGGAGAATAAAAGAAAAACAGAAAGATCTAGAATCCAGAATAAGTAATTTGCAGTACATATGCCTAAAGGTGTTAAACTGAAGCACGCAGGAGCATCTCGCAACATATCAAGAGGATCCAACGAGTCCTAGAAAAAATCAAATGTATAATGGATATAATTGTTTAAGATGTAACCTTCTATTTCTATTAAATTGTAAGAGATATCTAGTTATCAATAAGATTTTTATTGCTTACATAAATTTAATTTAAAATATTTACAAGTACAGAAAAACAAAATTAAAGGAAATGGAAGTTGATGCTTCCTTCCAACGCATGTTTGGGTGCCAGGCTGACCTAACACCCATGTACATCCATCCCATTGCAAATGCGTAAATTTATAGTTACGGAATAATAGAAAAAATAAGGTTAGGGAGACTAGACCTTAGATGCCGATTAAATGAATGCTATACAATCTGTGTTTTGCAGAAACTGGTGGTGAGCATCACTTTTGCAGGTACCCGAAATCCCTGTTTCAAGCCATTATATTGGCCTTGGTAAGTTGCAACTTTAACAGCAACCCTTCACCCATAATCCACCATTTCCCCTTGGCTTGGGCCTTACACGTTATTTGTGCAAATGGGGGACATAGTGCAAAATGCTTTAGTGATATGTCCCCATTAAAAAAAACTTGTCTAATAAAAAATATATTCTGTGTTCTGTGCAACATTTCATATAACAAAAAACTGATGCAACATTGAATAAGGGCTAAACTAAACTGTTACAACAGAGATTAAATTACATCAAATAATTTGACCAAAAAAAATAAGCCAGGCAAGCAATTACATCAAATAAATCAACGCAAGCCTTTGGTTTTGTTGAGTCCTCCGCCAAAATCACATATGATCCTTCTCTACATCGAATTACCAAACCAGGTTCTTACTTCTGAGGAAGCTCCATAAGCCAAAAATATCATGGAGTTGCTCAAGGCCAAGGAAGGACCTTGTGTACAGAGTCACGACACTAGTGCACTTCGATTATTTCAAATTTCTTTCCATTCTCATGTCTAAATTAAGCCTTGGACCGCCTAAACACAAACCATAGCTCATAATAATTAAAATATCAAACTATCAGGTGCATGGATCCTAGGGTTGTCAAACTATCAAACATACCTAGCCGTCCCTATGGAAGATGCTTTAACCAATTTACAATAATTAGTTAATTTAATTAGTGACATTAAAATTTACCATTTACATTAATTTCCTAAAATTATTAACACACATCATCTCACTCTTTTTACCTAGTTAATCAATATATGAAAAACAAGATAGCAATTATATAAGTTATTAATTTGTGGTTAGTCATTTTTTCTCAATCTCACACGAGAAACAATGACTTTAAAATTACCTTTTTTTTTTCGAAAACAGTTTTCTAAAAAAAAAAATCCCAAAACAAAGTTGTATGATAGGCGTTACCATTAGCAATGAAACTTATTATTACAGTGGCCGAACAATCACAGAACATAAGAGACAACGAGGAAAGACAATCATAACTAGACGGAAATTACGGAAAATTCCAGCGCACCTTTTTTATCATTCTGACAAAAAAATGGCGGTAAAATACATCTGATCTGGAAAACAATCAGTTAAAAGAAAAATTGCGAGAAAGGGACCATACTGACTCAGTTACGGCTCCAGCGTGGTCGTCAAAACAGCATTGTCGTTGGGCGAGACGGGGTGCTGCTGCGAACGACATCGTTTACGGGAGTGTTGGAAGGACACGAACAAGATGAGAGAGTGAAGAAGACGAAGAGGAAAAGAATGACCAGGCTAGAGCGGATTGAACGAGAACTGGCACCGTTACGACGCCCTTCCACGCTATCAGCGCCATCTAACCATGCCCATCACGCGCGGCGATTCCGAATTGGAATATCTGTGCCATCTTTTTTATTTCAAAATTTGAAATGGAACGCGACTCGGCGTCGTTTCATTGCTACAAAATAGGTTATTATTATTATTGATTAATAGAGGGTATTTAACATGTCGCTCTCAGTGACTGCCTGC